AAGACTTGAATTTTCTTATTGTTCTTTGATTTAGATGAAGAAAGCCACTGTTTACCTACACGTCTTACACAGATTCATTGAGCGACAAAGAGATGAAAAAGAAAATTCTCTAAAAAGCATGAGAGCTCCTTGTGGCACTGCATCAGACACGATTGCAAACTCTTTTGGAGTAACAGGAATTCCATGCTTTACCAAGAACTCCAATTCCAATAATTCAATTCAAACTCCAATAATTACAAAGTGAACCATTTTGATTGAAAAGTTGAGATACAAAAATAATTCCATTTTTAAACCAATTATCAAAGAAAATAGATTTGTGTTTATACAGTAGGTCCTTATTATTCCAAATTTTATAAGAGTGAGGTGTAAAATGGTGTTTATAGATGAGGGACCAAGCTAATAACATTTGCCTATGAAAAATGGATAATTTGATAGGGATTTTCATTATGTTATAATTACAGGTTAATAAGAATTTTAAACCCCCTAGTTTAGAAAAAATAACATTAGGGATCAGATTCCAGATAGATGCGGGCTTATTAATAAAGTTCTTTATCCAATTTGTTTTAAAAGTGTTGTTTAAAGTGGTGAAATCAAGAAAGTTTAAACCCCCCCTTCCCAATGGTGTTCATAAGTACAGACTTTCTGACTAAATGAGTTTTATTCTTCCAAACAAAGTTGAGGAGCATTGTATACATTTTTTTTAAGAATGGCGGTGTGGACACCGGTGGACACTCAAAGAAAGAGCAGCGTATGTTAACCTTGACAAGCCCTCAGCTTTGGCTAGTAAATTTCTTCCATTTAATGACAGATCTCGCTGGAGCCATATATAAAGTTTTTTCTGTGTTCTCTCAATTAGTGGATTAAAATTGACAGAGCATTGTTATAATAATACCTAAATATGATACCTGAAATTTGAGACAAACTACACTCTTTGATGGACATCAAATCACATTTCGAAAGGTTCAAGACAAAGCCTGAAGCTTTGGAGAATTGCTGGATATAGTATACTCGAGTGCTAACGGAACTTGGTTAGCATCATGCAAAAAAAAGTGTGGTATCATCAGCCAACTGACTGATGAGTATCTGTTTGTCAGTGTGATAGAGTGAATTTTATGTTTATTAATTTCTTCAAATGCATTATAGAATTGTTCAATGTTAATTGTTCTTTTTAGTTTAGTGATAGTGTGTCATGAGTTAGCCTGTCCGAGCACATGGTTAGCATGGATCTCCGCGGTTAGCCCGCTAGTTATACACGAGAGACGGTCACTTACACTTATGTCAACATTATTTGAATATATAAGTTTTATGAGTTATCTTAAATTTGCATAGTTGGATAATTAACTCTGTCTGTGAATTGAGTTATGCATTTCGTTAGTTTTCATCAGTTTTGTATGTGACTTCATATTAGGAAATGCATAGGACACGATGTCATTGTGAACATTGGGTAAGTTAACGTTAGATATGAGTATGTGATTAGTATCTCAGCTCCAGTGTTGTCATCAATTTCATACTGTCATTTAGTGGATCAAGGTAAATATTAATTCTGAAAATGTGTTTTCTTTTTGTAAAGGATTTGAGTGTCACTGTCAATTGTAAATGCCACACGTCTCTTGTGTGATGACATGTTTGAAGTCACTTACGTTTACAGCCAGTCATTACTGTAAAAGAAAAGTGATATGTAGGCTACTGATAATATAATTTACTGAGCATTTGTTATACATGTGTATGCTTTTATTATTTGCCATTCAGAATCAATACACTGTTAAAGAAGCAATCACTGCAGCGCTCTCTTCTCTTTTATTTGATTCTTAATCATCTTATACTTCTTCTTCAGAGGTACTACATCAGCAATAGAGATACCACGAAGACCACTATTAGAAACATAAGAAGCAAATATCTGGGAAACTAGTAAAAACAAATAAGGGGATATTGGACATCCTTGTCTAATACCACGTGACAAGTAAAACCTAGGAGAAAAGTTATTCCTTATGTGTCGGTCTCTCATAAATCCAGACTGAGTCTCATGATTTATAACGCTATCCAAACATTCTTTAAGTCTTTTAGCAAATATTTATGGCAAAAATTTTATAATCGTTGTTAAAGGAGTGTGATGGGTCGCCAATTGTCCAAATATCTTTCTTTGGTTTAGGAATTAGTGTGATTATACCCTGCGTTGAAGTAGGAGGTAAAGCTTCTTTATCAATACTCTCTTTAAAAACACTTAAAAAAGGAGAAAGTTCATCAGCAAATAATTTGTCCAGCTCAGCTGTAAGTCCATCACATCCTGGGGATTTATTGTTTTTCAAACTCTTAATTGCGCTTATTACTTCCTCATGGGTAACAACTTCATCATAACACATTCTATCACTTTCAGAGATAGCTTTAACATTAATAACTGAATCCAGAAACAAAGTCGATCCAGTCCACTTTTAGACACGCACTTGCGAACTTCCCTTATTTTGAAAAAAATAGTTTGTAGAATTTAATGTTTTACTCTGTACAATGTAAGATCTGTTATATGTTTCCCCAATATCTGTTTGTCTTATGTTTAATGTTAAATGTCATTGTAAGCCTTTATGAAAGTTGAATAGAAAAAAAAAACAGGAAAAAAAAACAGAAAAAAAAAAACCTTCCCCTCGGGGCCCGGGGGATTTCCTACCGCCATTTTGAAGTGCGTTCCACTTTGTGAAGTGGACGAGGGAAGTTTATATGGACAGTCTATGGGGCAGACCGAGGGAGCGAGTCTACTTCATATGTACACTTCAGGCAGGCAGCTCCATCCATATACCACAATGCAACACGATTGTGACCGTCACCGCAGATCTCGTCTAATCACCACCACCACAAACAACTCTATGATATATTTTTTATTTTATTTAAAACAACCCAAACACATCTATATAAATTTAGATGCTGCATTAAACAACTTCTTAAAAAAAAAAAAAAAAAAAAATCAAATCAAATCAACTACTGCATACTGAGTGATCAAGGGCTTTGCAGTTTCCGCCAGTAGTGGGCACTCGTGCGACGTTAGCAATGAGGTAACTGTTACATCCAAGTGGACGAGACGGAGGGAAGTTAGCGAGTGGACTAGAACGCAGCACCAGAGTAATATCATAGTACTTTTTTTGTTATCGTCTACATGTTTTTTCACATTATTACTTTAACGTAGATTAAGGCTTTTTTTTAAACAAATATGCAAGGACATACGATGTGTGAACTCACCTCTCTGGAAGGCATAAACACTATCTTTATGTTGACATGTGAGCACAATAACGGTCCACTTCAGCAACCCTTCATCTGCCATCCTGACGTAAATGATTTCTCCTCATGTCAGTAACAACCAAGCGCGTGCAAAAACCAGAAGCGAACAGCGCTCGGGTCCGATTCATTCACCAACTATCACTGGATTATAACACCAAAAGTCGTTCTACCCGTTCTATCAAAACAAAACAGCGAATGCAGCACTTCCGGACTACAAAGCAGCTTCTGGACTACAATCTAATCGCACGCACGATTAGGAAATGCAGTTTTACTAAATAAATAAAAGTGGTAGGTTTAACATGGATGATTATGTGGTAACACAACGAATAAAATCTATGAATAATTATAGGCCTACAATAAATATCTTCCATTGCACAGGGAATGCAATTAAAGATTTTAGCTTGGAAACAGGAAATTGAATTTATAATAATAAATCCAGCGTTTTGCTGGGAAATGTAGTTTGAAACGATCAAAAAAGTATAACAATGATTTATTTCATGCTTTTTGGGAACCCAAAACTAAATAAATTGTAAGTATTTTAGTACATATTCATTGGATAAAGCTATTTTAGGAAGAAGCCGCGAACTAGCTAGCAGTTTCTATATAAACCCAGCTTTATATTTTGTATTTTGAAACCAGGAACTTCAGTAAAGAGTAGATTAAATTTCTTATCTGAATCTTTTTCTTGACAACTGTAGTTTGAAAAAAATCTAACTACAATGATAATAATAAATTGGCTTTTGGTTATTAAAACTAAAAGAAAATATTTTTTTAAAATAGAATTAAATCTAATCCCACTCACTTGGATATCCATGATTTTAGAAAGAAACATGGAAATGGATAGGGTAGATTAAATTTCTTAACTGAATCATGTTTTACTTGGAAATGTGGTTTGAAACTAACAAAAACTAAAATGATAATGATGATAATGCTTACCTGAAATTAAATCTGCAAGTGCTTTGAATCGAACAAGTTGCATTACTTTCCATATACTTTAGCTTACGAAATGAATTCTCTCAGAAATAGCCAGCAGGGTTTCTGCAGGTTTTATAAAGGTCAATTTAAGACCGTTTTTAACACCAAGTACAGAAAATGCAAGTAATATATTGAAAGGAACACAAGTTATATAAACAACACTTCAGAGTTTGAACAGATCATTACTTTTTCATTTATTTTACAAAAAAAGTAGCTTGAATGCCTCTGCTCCCAACCACTCGAATAAAACTTTGTGCCTTCTGATCACAGCAAAAAAGTACTGTTCTTCCTCAGTATTTTTGTCTTTTTTTCTAGTGCAAATGTCTAAAGATTATTAAATCAAGATGCATTTTCTTGAGATGCAAAATGATAAAAAATTATGTCCAAGAAATTGATCATCAAAATGAAGTGACCTCTGATTAAAACAAGAACAAATATCTGCCAATGGGCTCAAACTTAATTCAAAGGAAGTTTTCATAACTCATTGACAGATATTTGTTCCTATTTTAAGCATAAACTCAATTCTGTAAAAATTTTTAAAACTTAATTTTACATTTGCATCTCAAGTATGTGTATCTTGATTAAAAGCAGGACAAAAACATTGAGGGAGATATTTTTATGTATCATTTTTGTATGCATGCAACATTTAATGCCATGACTATACATTTAAGACATTCTCCTCTTTGTGTAAGGGAAAATTAAAAAAAATTAAGACCCGCAGAAACCCTGAGCCAGTATGAATGAAACATGCACTGCATAGATTAAAAAAAAAAGTTAAAGAGTTAGAACTCCCTTTTTATTTATTGAAAACATTATAAAATATGAACTCCCAGCTGTAACATGTCTACATGAACCACTAGAAGCAGAGGCAGACAGATCATCAAATGGTCCCACACAGATTTCAGAGAGAGAGACATAATTCTGATCATTTGGACGAGAACATACACTGTGGTTTTAACTTTCCCCTCATAGTGAAATCAAAATGAACCCTAAACACCTTCAGTAACATGATACTAAACAGGCGCTTAAGTCGAACTAGTGCTAGACGTTTACATTCACAGTAAGATTATAATGGCGTTTGATACACCAGATCAGGCCGGTTTGGACTTGCACATTATCAGAATACAGACGCACCATCACAACACAACAGCACACAACTTACTCACTGCGACCAGATCCTAAACATAGACAGCATGAGCTTTGGGATGACTTTTTTATTTTTTATTTATCAGACCCAAAACACCCAAAGGTTCTGTCTATGGTTTCCCTGCAGAAATGAAAACAGCATCAGCAAGATGAGTGTTTTGGCTGTTATGGTCTTGCGCACACATTCACACATGCAAACGAAAGGTTTGAACAACAAAGTTCTTCAATTTTGGTCCAATCATGGCACTGACCCATGTTAAAATGGTCAGGATTGTCCATGTGTGAGTTGCTTGTGTAACAGGCACGCTAACCTCCTTTAGTATCCTAAACATAGCAGAAGTATACAGCCGATTAAATAATTACATTCTCAAATCTTTTTAAATATAGTTTTGTAGCTTATGCGAGATGTTTAGTAGCACTTTCCTGTGTAGCTACCCACTAAACGCAAGTTTAAAAGGATTGTTTTATTCATAAATGGCTATATGTGCACTTCCTCTACCCTCAGCTCACTGCATAGTGTTCTGCATCGAAATGTGTCTTCTTGCATAGCACCGATCAATAAACCCCAAACCAGAGGAACAGTGGACCCCGAACCCTAAACGCCTCACCTATGTAACAGCTACAAAGACATGTTTTCCTAAATATACAACAACCCTCTCCGTGAGGAGAGTAAATGATGGCATCACCTGTCTGGAAGCAGCTCGACAGACACCATGAGCGTTGGTATGATCTGAACAGGATTACAAACACAAACGTGTGTCCAGTTGTGATGTGCAGCGCATGGCTGTTTGTGTGTGGAAGGATGGATTCATGACTTCCTTTGTCGGACTGTGTCCATACTGCCGTTTAGCTTGCTACGGCCGGACGAGGCCGTGTTGCTGCCGTCGGCATGTCCAGGGACTCTGTCCCGCTCCGAAGACCCTTCCTGTCTACGCCGCCGTGTTTCTTTGTATCGGAGTGTGATGTCACTGTCAATGCAGAACACTTGGTCAGTTGACATCTTAGTCAGATCGCTGGATCAGTTTCTAATGCTTTACTAACTGAGTAGCATAATAACATCCTACCTGCGGTATTATATGCTGCAGAAATAGTAGTCAGATTTACATTTTTCTCTTAAAATGTTTTAAATTCTGTCATCATTTACTCGCCCTCATGTCGGTTCAGACCTGTATGAATCTTAATTCTTTTGTGGAACTGTTTTGGCTACCAGTGACTTTCCATTGTATGAACAAAAAACAATAAATACTGAGACATTTCTCAAATTATCTTTTTATGTTCCACAAAAAAAAAAAAAAAAAAAAAAAAAATCATACAAATTTGATACAACAGGGATAGTAAATGATGACAGAATTTTGAACTATCACTTTAATACTCATTTTAAAACCCATTGCATTATTTATGAAATTGTAACTGCAGTGTGTAAATGCATTCATGCCACCTCTGAGCTGAAATAAACTGTCTGTAAATATATCTAAATGCCAATTCAGATGCAACTTTTGAAAAAAAGCCTAAAAGTTTGTGTAATTAATTCTATGTTGAATCAAATAAAATATTTCTTTACAAAGCTACTTTTTGTAATGTCTTATTAGATGCTTTTCTCATTTAACACAATAATGACTTTAAATGATCTTTTGGGGGTAATTTCTGTGATTGGTTGATTTCTGAGATGTGATTAATTAGATTAAAAGTGTAATCATTTGACAGCACTAACAGACAGACAGACAGACAGACAGACAGACAGATAGACTTGATAGACTTGATTGCAATACTGATTTGGATGGTAAAAAATTATACTGTGTAAGAAATTAACAAATGTTATTATTAAAAATTGATTAAATCTGCATTTATACTGCTATCAGTAACCATAATGAAAGAACTGATATGAAGGGTCATTACCGGATGAAAAACCGCCACAAGGTCCAAATAAGGATGAGAACGATTCCGAGTATCCAGCATTGAGTGACGAAGAACGGGATTGGCAGCATGATGGTATTGGGATCGTATTTGACCACGATCAGAAACTCTGTAACAGTGATGGTCGCCACAATCCACGCTTGCTGGCCCAACTTTTTATGGAATTTCCTAAAATGCAAATGATACATTAGACTTACTGCAAGCATACAAAAAACACCCTGTTCCTAGTGAGCTGCCTAACTAGGTCATATTTTTATGCCTTGCAAGCATGTCCCAGAAAAGCCACTCCAAACAACAAAATCTTCATAGCACAGCATGTATTATTTGCAAACAAGACAATAACTGAATACATGGCAACAAACTTCCAAAATGGAAGGGAGAATTGAGAGAAACTGATTTTGCTTACATGCTTACTGGTGCGAGGGCAGGACAACCTGTCACTCACATGAGACCGACCAATAGCTAACCACAACCATCTGATCAATTCCAGATGGATAAAATCAAGTCCCTCCCTATGCTTTTTTTTATTGTTCGAAAAGCCGTTTCACTCGGATATACATATATGCATATTCATAAAAGACTACTTCCGTTTCATGCCGACTTCAATGAAATAGCTGCTTGTGTCAGGTGAAGCCAGGATGTCACCTTAGAAGGCAGCAGCCTACATAGACAACAGTTAGTGAGGCAGCTCATTTGGAAACGCTCTAGATTGTACTTACGGATCATCCATGAAGTCGTAGATCTCTCGCATGGCCACTCCGCCCACGTTCACAAAGAAGACGAGCCTCAAAAGCACCAGATAGTGCTCCGGAGGCATCCACAGCACGAACTTCAAATAAAACGTATTCAACTCTGCCAACAAGAACTACAAATAAGGAGGAAAAAAGGGTCATTTTTATTTTCGAAATCACTGTGTGGTGATTGTATGCACTAGTCATGTGACTCACCATGAAAATAATACCCAACACCGCCAGCCATCTTCGCAGGTTAGATGCCGGACGCCATTCAAAATTCACCCAACTGTACGGGGTAAACTGGAAGGCGATTCTCTTAATTTTCCCCCTTTAACACAAAAATTGCAGGATGTCATGACAGTTCAGTGTTTTACCTGCTGACCGATCCGTTAAGAGGTTTAATGCATTTTACTTGTATGTTGGGATGTGCCACAATCCCTGCCACTGATACGGCTTCATGGAGAGCCAACCGAGCGTCTTCATGCCGCAGTAAATGCCCAACCCGTTACACAGCAACACATCCATGATCCACTGCAGCAGGAGAGATTCATTTCATCTGACCTTTTTAAAACAGAGCCATGTATGATTCACAGGGTGTATCTGGTGTGATTTACTCACATGGTCCCACCAGCACTCTGAGAAGTTGGGCAGCTGGTGTTCGAGGCTGTACTCCAGGAACTCAAACATCACGCTGATGATCATACACATCCACCAGTCCCTGATCATCAGTGTCTGACACACACAAAAACAAACATGACTAAAAGTTTCTAATTCAATTTTTTTATACTGTCTGCAGATTTCAAACATGTGGTAACGTGTTCATTTGCCAACATGCTCTTGAGATAGGTACAACACCAACCTTAATGTACCAGCCGAGAAAATGGGCAGGAACAAATCCATCCATTTTGTCCTGTTGGGAAAATAATAATAAAAAATGAAATAATTGTTTTCTGATGCAAAATCAAACTAATCTAACAACTTTAAATTATTCAGATTTTGACAAATATGAATATTAAATGATACACCTCACATTTCAGACTTTAAATTATGTTTACTATATTTATATTCATTAAAAAAACGAGACTTATAGCCATATTGCGATTCCTGTTTTGCTGTCTCCAAATTTAGGACCTCTTGAAATGATAATTAAGACTTTGCTTGTGCCATTTAAGATACTTAAGACGAGTTATTGCCTTACATTTGTTACAACTGGACTAAGTAAACCTGCGGTAACTGTGATTTAAAAAAAAAAAAAAAAAATATCATTAAAAAAAAATCGAATATTCAGTTGGTTTGTGATGCATCACATTACAGAAGATTAATGCCGTTTCATGATGTTCCTATACATCTGAACTAGTTTTATATCACTCATATCACACTGCAGCCTCTACTCGTATTAAAATACTTCAATATTTCATGTCCATTTAACCTTGTAAGAGCAGGATAATGTACAGCCAACCAGTCATTAGAGTTTATTCTGTAATGTACAAATGATTGTACATTATCTCTAGGATTTGATGTATATTTAATACCCTATAAGTAGCCAGGCTCATGCCTGACCCTCTGTAAGAGATCTTTTATTATCTGTGTCGATATTGTTTTTATTATGTTGGTTGTAATGCATACCCAGATATTGTGGAAGGGGTCGGTAGGGTGTCCAGGGTCATAAATAAGACAGTTTCCTCCATAATCTCTTTCAGGAAGAGGGACACCCAGCTTTGGGTCAATGTACTTCATGAACTGCCTGCCATCATGTACTGTCTGAATAAAAATCAGAAATGTCACATTTAAATATGAGACGATATCAATAAAATACTGTATGTAAGGTTGTGCTGTTGAGGCTGGTAACAAACCTGGAACAGGATGAAGATGAGGAAGAGTTCATACACAACAGAAACACACAGCCAGAAACGCCAGTAAGCTGCAGAGACAAATGCATACCATAAACTCTTACATAAACACAAAAAATACTAATGCAGTAAAATACTAATAACTAAAATGATAAATCTTGTACATGAGAATATTGGGGGTTTGTGTTGAACTCTTTGTTGTCTGTATCACATCTGAACTTTCTGACCTGAAACTACTATAATTCATCAGCATTCTGGTTTGTTTTCAACTTGAGGTTTGTTTCTGTTTCAAGAATAATTCCTTGAAGTCATCATGAGCCACCAAAGTCATTATATTCATTAAACCAATTCAAATTTGACTTAATATGGAAATTCAGCCCTCACAACGACTTCACAGTCTTTGGTCAATACGTAAAAAAGGAACTTAAAATTAGTCCAAGTTAAAGCGCCCCAATTATGCTATTGTAAAGGCACCTACTTGTGTTTTGCTGGTCTCCTACAAAAGGTTTACATGCATCCAATGTCAAAAGACACTTTAATTTTCTCATAATATAATATCACCTCATTTTTCAAGGAGTCTGAAAACGGTTAGTTTGAAAATTCAGTTTCTCTAAGCCCCTCCTTTTCGAAAGCCTACTCTGCTCTGATTGGTCAGAATGCCCAGTCTGTTGTGATTGGTTGAACACTTGAACAGCACGTGTCGGAAACCAAATGTCCATTACCACATATCTGAACTTCAGCTCCGGATCTTACTCTGCAGTTAATACACAGTGATGCGAACAGTAAGGATGCCGTCAGTTTTACCACATCAATTCGAGCTCGAGTCTCCTTTGGAAGTGGATTTGCTTTCACAGCTCAGAAAAACAGCTGCTTCTTGACATGTCGAGAACATGAACCAAACTCTTCCAGGCCTCAGCTACAACTACAGTGTTTGAGGGTTAAAGTAAACGTCATTTACGGACAGCCAATGAAGACCATAGGCTAGCATTATGTACATCTGTTACATTGTTACATAGGTATGTAACAGGAAGTGAGACTGGAATTGCTGACGACTCGTTTCAGGCAATTCAAAATTGGTTCCAACTAGGGATGTCCCGATCCGATCACGCGATCGGAAATCGGGCCCGATCACGTGGTTTCAGACTCGATCGGAAACGGACGTTACCTCCCGATCAGGACTCGGATATATGTAAATTAGGGGTGTAACGGTACATGTATTCGTAATTATTGAACCGTTTGCTTCCGAGGCTTTGAACGAGGCTTCCGATTGGGACGCATACAAACCGAACGACTCCTAGGACCATTTTTCCTGCAGACAAAATCCGCGCTTCATCAAATGGCAAACGTAATGAAAGCGGAACGAAACTGCGCTTTCAAACTCATTATATTGTGCTTAACGGACCATTTATCAGTTCGGACCAGCAACATCTGTGCAGCGCGAGATCAAGCGACACTGTGCTAAGAGATCCAGTGAAGAAAACATTTGAATTCGCCACTGAAGTAATAACATTGCTGCGAGATCTAGTGAGAAGCATTCATATTTCTCTGTTATTAACCGTAGATCTCTATTAGATCAAACAGCGCTGACGTGGGAACCAGGAGAAACATTGTGCCGTGAATGAACATGGATTTAATGTTGCACTTCAAAACTCAAATATTATATAAATATATATTTAAATGCTATTTTTAATGTGATAACCAAAACATTATTTGTTCATCCTTCAAAGATTACCCCCATTTATAAACCTGAAAGTTTCAAGATGTAGGAAAACTCAAACTTATTTAAAAATAGTTTTTCTTTTAATAAATAGGAAATTTCTCTGGCATTTCTTTCTTTTTGCTGTATCATATCGAACCGCAAATTTTGTGAACTGTTACACCCCTAATGTGTATATATATATATTCTCATTCTTTTTTTATACACTTTTAATACATTTTTATTTTTTGTTTACATGCCTGCCGGGTATTTTAAGTTGAGGTGCTATTTGTTTTTATATTAGACTTTTTCTATATTTACTGTTGCACTAAAGTCCAAAAGTGAAGATTTTATGTTATTTATTACTTGATTGTTCAAGCTACCTCACAAAAGTGCTCTGTTTGTTAACAGAGTTGTTGAATGTTAAAATAAGGTGAATTAAATTAAAAATAAGGAACATCCTGGATCTGTTTTTTCTCTCTTCTTTATTCTTTTTTTATGTATTAGGCCTATATAAGTATCGGATCGGGACTCGGTATCGGTAGATACTCAAAATCAAATGACTCGGACTCGAGGGCAAAAAACCCTGATCGGGACATCCCTAGTTCCAACTTTATTAGTCGTGCAATTTGATTTTGAAAACTTTCCATTCACAAACAGCTATATTACACACTGCATGTAAGTTAATATTCGAAAAAAGCATAATAGGGGCACTTTAAGATGCTTGAATTATGGAAAGAGATTAGCGAAGCCATTTTTTACTTCAGTGCTACAGCCATTTGTTTGCATCTATGTCTCTAGAGTCTCTATATGTCTCTGTCTCAATGTTCAGACTCCAGACACTCCTCCTCTAAAACAACCTAGCGTACTTCACTGGGATTAAAAATTCAACACCGTTTTCACTATGACAGGAAACCAAACTTATAATTTGTCAGTTATCTTGAGAGGTCTGAATGCTTCATTCTCTGCTGACTGGTGGAGTGCTGTGTTGAAACCCCCAGGACCAGCTCATCCAGTAAAGTGAGTCAGCCCTCATAGCACAACAGAAAGTATGAGTTGAAACAGGAAACGAGTTACAGTTGCTACAACAGGATTCTTACCGTTTTAAGCTGGGTCTGTGAAAGTCTCTGGGTCTCTAACCATATCCTATCTAATTATAATTTTAAAAAGCTCAACTACAGTCATGCTAAAGCTACCCCTTTGATTAGTTAGTTCTTATTGTGCAATAATGTTTTTAAATAATAATCGCATAAATATATTAACGTTTATTAATTATAATGATTATTATTTTAGTCAAATTGATATACAATCAGTTTTTGGATAAATTGTGTAGCCCTACAAACAAGCACAGCAAATTTTTAAATGAAATTTTAAGTTTAATCATTGTGATCATTCAGAAAAATGATATGTGCAGCCCTACTATAAATTTGTGTTCAGTTTTGATGATTGTCCTCCAAATCTTCATTGGTTGTGTGCCTGTGACATCGCCAACTACTGGCCAGGCCGCAGAATGCAGTGTTTTTAGTCTTTTTCGCTGATCCTTGTGAACGAGGATCGTTTTGACACGAAAATTCTCAAAAACACAAAGAAAAAACGACTACGTTTTTACATCGCTGTCATGTACTTCTGGGAACACTATTGAGTGATGACTAAAATGACTGTGTGAATTGTTTTTATGAACTAGGTCATTGAGATAAAGACAAATTTAATCAGTCTTCCCAACACTACTTGCAAGGTAGCCTGTCTGTTATTGCATCAGCTCGCTCAATTGTAATGCAATGTGAAAAACAATGATGTATTTGTTTAGTCACGCTACATTGCTGGTTGTTGGAAAGCATGTTACTGGAGAAGGTAACCTATTCTTAACGCAGCTGAGCAACTGTAACATTACTGAAACATGTGGTTAAATCACTACTTTTAGTTTCTCCAGCCCAATGGGACCATGGGATCTCACAATTATAGCATCTCATCCTCACTGTTAACCACACCAACAGACAGAAGTCGAAGTTGACATGAAGGTGATGTGAAACCTCTGTTAATCATCTTTAAATATATAGGTTACTGCTCTAGCTTCAGTTAGGGCTGGATTATGTTTAAATTAAGGTTACTGGTCTGACCTGGGTGAGGGCGCGTGAAGGGACCATCTTTAGCTTGTGTTACTCCAAAACAAAGGAACACCAGAATACTGGCCACAATTCCTCTGAAAAAGACAAAAAATACACACTGATTAAGGGAACTGTAACTACACAACTAAATTTCTTAAATAAAATGCGAGGATTTTTTCTGTGCAAAATTCTTTGCCATGATATTAAGGTGTTCTGGGGCATTACTAGGTAAATACTAAATATATTCAGTACCGGTCAAAAGTTTGGAAACATACAGAAAAAAAATAGTAATTTTGTGAAATATAATTACAATTTAAAATAATGGTTTTCTATTTTAAAATAAAATGTATTTATGTGATGAATTTTCATCAGCCATTCTATTTTGAATAAATGCAATAAATTCTGAAAAAAGTACAACAGGTTCCAAAATAAATATTAAGCAGCACAACTGTTTCCAATATTGATAATAACTGAGTGTCAAATCAGCATATTGGAGTGATTTCTGAAGGATCATGTGACACTGAAGACTAGAGTAATGGCTGATGAAAATTCAGCTTTGCATTACATAAATACATTTTATATTAAAATTGAAAACCATTATTTTTAATTGTATTAATATTTAACTAAAATTATTGTTTTTCTGTATTTTTGGTCAAATAAATGCAGGTTTGATGAGAATAAGAGACTTCTTTCAAAAACATAAAAAAAAAAAACATTAAAAATGTCCAAACTTCTGAAAGGTACTGTAAATAAATATTCACAATAAAACAAAACAATATATTTTATGTTTATTGCAAAAATATGCATATCATGCATGCACATATTTAAGAAGTTTGAGAGTGTGGGGAAACTGGCTCTGCGTCATTCGAAGTGCTTCATGGGTACTTTTGGGCCGATTTGTTACTGATTGGTGGAGATTCTTTGCAGAATCATGGGTAATGTAGTTTTTCCCCAGGAATGAACTGAAATAATGTGTGTTGATGGCTTCCACAAAAGTATATTCCATCCATTAACAATCTTGTAGCTCACCTTAGTTAATATTTAAAATTTCCTCTATGGAAAACATGAATGGGATTTTTACTTCCGGAACCCGACTGTTGCACTCTTTACTAAGTGTTTGATTTGTAAGTTGCTATTTAATTGATAGAGAGTTTTTTAAAATGGTTTCCTTACAAAGTTCAATATTTAGAGGCCCATTTAAATCTTGCAAGCACATCTAATAATACCACACATGACATTCATACAGAAATAATAGCTTCTCTTTCTTCTGATAAAGGTCATGTGCTCTTAAGCACAGCGGGTCAGTCTGTGACCTGGACTTTGTGATCAGCAGCAGATGTCACACATAATCCTGTTAGCCAATAGAATGCAAGACACTTGCCAAGCCCCTCCCAGCAACAGCCATGTGACATTTCTGGCCACATCAGACCACTTTAACTTTATCTTCTGGAAGTGTCTCATTCTCTGGTACTGTCTGAACTGTGTTCTGGTTCCAGTGCTGAAGGTAAACACCGAACCGACTGCATGTCGGCCATACCTTTTAGTGTTGTACGCAGTGTCATGTGGCGTCTCCTCCAATAGTGTCACATAAACCAGAGCACATGTCAGGATGAACAGCACTGTCAGGGTGTGTGCCCTCCTGCAGATAGAAAGACGAAACAAGAGGATCAGTGTACAGAGCTTGCATTCAAAAGTTAGTTTAGTTTTTGCACAGCCAAAACCTGCTGGGCTGGTATACCGGTTGATCAAAAACACAACAACCACGCCTCAACATACACATATGCAAGGGGGAGAGAGGAGAGATCAGTATAACAGTTTATTACAGCAAATTTAGTACTTGGAACTGATTTTCAAGGAGCATTTTGACCTGTATAAAAATAAGTTTTTCATCACAACAATTATGGCTGTTAACCTACAAAATCATATAAAAAAATTATTAAATTATCAGAAAATAATTTTACAGCCTTTCAAATGAGAAAAGCATTTTAAAAGACAGTTCATCCAAAAATGAAAAGTCAATGGGGTCCAAAACAACACTGAAAATTATTTATTCATAGTAATTTATCAATTTTCAAATTATTTATTTTTGGGTGAACTATGCCATTGAGCTTTAAAAAATAGACACAACCTAAAAAAAAACAACAACAATGAATGCAAGCAACTTCATTAGCATTATAACTGTATTTTATTTTATAGTTGTAGCCTGGTTTCGTTATTGCGTAAAAAAAATCAGAAATAAAATTTTTAAAAATTCTGAATATTGGTTATAACATCCCAAAATAAAGAAACAATTAATGTAAACATTGGATTTTTATTATTACTATTATTAATATAATTATTTATATTAACAACAACAATAATAATATGTTTATAGTTGTAGTCTGATTTAGTTATTGCGTCAAAAATCAGGACTAAAACAAGAATCGGTTCTGAATAGGGATGCGCTGAAAATTTTCAGCTGAAACAGCCGAAATGGTTTTGAGGACCGAAATCAGCGACCGAAACAGACGTTTAATAGTGTTTCTCCGGTAGCACATTTTAACTAGCTAGAAAAAAATTAATCTAAAGAAGCACATTTGGCTAAATATATGCACTGTATTACATATTCATTACATTTGAACTTAACCTGTTAGTGTTTTCTTTATTATTTAATGCATGTTTGAATAAATCTGTCATGAAAACAAGTTATTACAGTTGTTGTTTAAATGTTTATATTTCACCAACAAACTGGAGTAGAAACAATTTTGTTATTAAAAGGTTGATAGAAAAACTGCCTCATGTGCAGTTTAAATGTTTATACGACTCAGTTTTAGCTATTTGAGTATTGATTATTAAATGTTTTTCTGTAAATGGTTTTCTGTAGGCCTATTTTCGGCCGAGTGCATCCTGAATTTTAGGTTTCGGCCCATAATTCTCATTTCGGTGCATCCCTACTTCTGAAAATATGTTATGAAACCAAACAAAGACAAAAAATGTACGCAAAACTATAAGTGAGAAAGAGTGTCTTCCACAGCATCTGTCCATCTCAAAGCCTTTAATGGATGGAGATGTCATTCTGCTGAGATTGCAGAAGAGAGAAAAGCCGAGCAAAGCTGTAATACTACTGAACAGCCTCTGGACACACAACACACAATATATAACACTCACACAGGGGGAAACCACAGAAAGACACTGAAATCAAAGAGCATAATCAGCAAATAAACAATCATTAACTATCATAACATATTAAGAGATGTTAACTCACCAGAAGAATGTGTTGGTTCCATCATCGAACACCTCACACTCGGAGCGGCCGGTTAGCTGGAGATCATCTGTGCCTGACCTCTTCCACTCACCTTTAGCCATAACGGCACAGATACACCTGTAGTTTAAACTAAACCTGGACTAAACTAAACCCAACCCACCTGTGATTTCAATTACAACTAAATCCAACACACATGAACCAAACTTACCCTAACACAACACATCTATAATTTCCAACCTGAACTTAAAGCAATAGGCTAACCTAGATGACACCTGCACTAACTGTAACCCAACAGACCTGTCAATTCAAACTGGACGAAACCCAATAGACCTGTGCTGAACTTACCCCTAACCCAACCTACCCATGCTGTGATTTACAACCAGAATAACACGCCTGATATTAAAAACAACTAACAGTTACTCAGTCCTAACTAACCCAAAGCCTAACGTTATACACTACCGCTGAGATTTAATCCTGAACTAACTCAACCTATATAAATCACAACAACTCAATAACTAACCCGAACAAACAAATACTCCCCTGTACTAACGTTACCTAAACCAGCACATTCGTGTGGGGATTTAAACCTGGCTGAAATAAAGACTAAAATAACTCAAATCACAGTAAGTCACAGGAGCTCACGCGCGTCCCGCCACTGGCCGGTAACGGGATTTACAGGATCAACAGTCGTTCGTAGATCCGAGGCTTTAATAACCAGAAGGAAAATAACGTCTTCAAGCTTTATATACGAACGCTACGGAGAGGCATCATCCAACGATATTACAGACTGCAGCAGACGCACGCGCACCTCTAGTGACATGCACTTCAGAAAAATATAACCATCATCGTAAGGTCGCGCGGCATGGCGTCATTTCCGCTCATGCCATAGGCGGCGTCACAAATTTGTGTTTTTGGTCATCAAACCATGTGCACAAATATGAAGGGCGCTCTGTTATGTAGCCACAATCAGTTATAAACACACCATTGTGTGTTTATTATTTGTATAATGCATTTAATGAAGCTGCAATGTGATAGTTGTTATATTAAATACTATCTATTTATTTACAGGCTTTATATAGCCTACATGAGAGCACAAACAATCTTTTAAATAAACAAACTGTTCCAGGTTTACACGGATGACAGATTACGTGTGTGGTGGAAAGGTTTACATAACCATAAGGAAAGTATGTCACATGATTACTGGAAACATAATGTTTGTCACACGTGCATCACCCACTATAAGTCGTACATTAAACCAGTAGCTTTAAAAGCAATAGACAATACTGGGAAAATTGTCATATATTATGTAAGCAGTCTGTTTATGTAAAACACATTATGTCCTGCTTTAGCATACAACTCTGAAAGCCTTCACAGAAAGCTGAGTCAGCACAAATACAGAACTTAGCCAGTCTAAACATGTCAGCGGTTCACACACTTCTCAGTCACGCTCAGTTCTCTTATTTAAAGTTGAATGTGATTAATTGTATTATTACTTGCTGCAACTGGCTGCAGGCCTGCGGCTCATATAGCTGGTCAAACTTGTTAGTTGTAGCTAGAGCAAGTTTGGGCTGAGAATTCAGGATACTTGTCTTGTGTGTATTTGTTAAACGCCAATTCGAACCACATCTGAGTTTATTAAGATTTACCTCAAGTTTATTTAACGCAATACTATAATGTGATCAAAAGGGGGCGCTGTTGTACTATTCCCAAAGCGCAACTACCGAACAGAAACGATTTCTCGGTTGATTTTTAACAGATCCTTTTCTTTTTGTTATGTGAAGGTCACTTTAACACTGAGTTGAAATGTTTATACTTTTATACTATCATTATAAAAAGTTTAGAATTATATAATAATATATAAAAATGTACATAAAATACTGATTTATTGTTGCTACTTTTGAATTGTTGCTATTTTTTTTAATTGTCCCCTGTCCACATTTTAGTATTCAAATTTGAAAACTAATCTTACAAAAACTAATTATTATGTCTTAAAAATCATTTCAAAATTAGAATGATTTATATTAGTAAAATAATAATTTAAATACTTGTTTGCCATCAGTTTAGTTTTATTCATCCCTTAGGAAATTTGTTTTGCACAGGAACGCATCACATTAACACACATATCTCCATAAACATTTTTGGACAAATACATTATAAGAATAAGATTAAAAAAATACTCATTTAAAAAAATCAGTGTCAGTAAAGAATGTGCACGCTTAAATTAAATTTAAGGCAATTTTATGAGAAAAATCATAAAAATTTAGGAAAATATCACTTGAACAGAATAGTTTTATTCTATGTCATTTCCAATCAAACGGTCAACTTTTGAATAAAAGGATAGGCTGCAATAAATACCACATATTATTTAAAAATAAGCTATTCACATCTAACTTTGCACACTCTTCTTAACCCGACGCATGAAGTATGAGTAGTGAAAGCTTGGCGAGAATAGACGCTTCTCGCGGTTCAAACAAATAGGGCTGGGCAACAAACTCAAGTTCCTCTGACAGTTCTCTTTAAAAATTCTCGTTTTAGACTTCTAATTCGTGACTGGTGTTTTGTTTTGCTCTTTTCAACGTCATGCGTCGGGTCAGAGGTCACGCTTCCGCCGGAACTCGCATTCGGCCGTTGCCGGAAGCCAGTGATGATAGTTTATAAAGTTATAAATATGGATTTTTTTTTTTTATAAAAACGTATATCACTTCACATCAGAAGGTCTTTATTAACCCACTGGAGTCGTATGGATTACTTTTATGATGGATGGATGTCCTTGTTTTGGGCTTCAAAATCTCAGTCACTATTGACTCCCATTATAAAGCTTGCGAGCCAGGATAATTTTTAATATCCTCCTGCGACCCAGAAAAAAAAAAGTTTTTGGAATTTAGTATTTTTTTATGTTATCACAATGTTTAGAGCATAAGAAACGAATGGTAAAAAATAAAATACAATTTGACAAATGATATTTTATTCATGTTCTGTAATGTCCTCTGAAGTGGACGCCAGGACTCAGTTGTATAAAAAAAACAAAATTACATGAAATTACATGTATAGGCAAAAACAATGGGATTTACCCATTGATATAAACCTAGGATGGCCAGGCTTAAGGCGGGTGAGTAAATTATTGGATAATTTTCATTTTTGAGTGAACCTTTAATAGCTATATATATTAACGGGATGCATCCAACATGCATTATAATTACTTTTTAATTAGACTGTTGTCATTAATTTGACTCACTTTACTCCAGGTGGTGCAATGTGAGCGGGTAGGGGGAAAGCAACGGGGTACGGGTACAACAAATTACATGTGAATGTATGCGGGTCTAACCAATCACAGCCGAGTAGAGGCGGGTCTAACCAATCACAGCCGGGTAGAGGCGGGTCTAACAACAAAGCCAAATGGGTAGTGGATTCTGACCAATAGGAGCGGAGCATGTGGTTTTGCACTGCTGAGGCGCAGGACTTTAAATCTGACGAGATTAAATCACGGCCAGATCTGGAGTTTCACGATTCATAACGACGTGTGGTGTAATTCACACTGACTTTTCTTGCTCCCAGGGATTTTCACACCCATTTGGCCCGTTTTATTCTGGATCTGGGCACTATCAACGATGTCTACCATCCTGCTCTCCACCATCGCCGGGGAAAGACTGGCCTCTTCAAGGGAAACTGCCCCTCAGGAGAACACAGAGACTCTCCCTCAACTGAAACACACGGGAACATGCAGAAATCTGTTCGGACCTGTGGATCACGACGAGCTGAAGCGAGAGCTGACATCCAAACTTCGCGAAATATCTCGACGAGATCAGCTGAGATGGAACTTCAATTTCAGTGAAGGACAGCCGCTGAACGGGGGGTTAAAGTGGGAGGAAAGTCCAGCTGAGGACTGTCCGGAATTTTACAGAGAAAAGACTGTCGTGCCAAAGAGACCATTTGTGGACTTCCCCACGACAGAAAGAATCGCCAATGCCTCAAAATGTGAGAGTCGTTCAATGAACGTTTTGAAAAAGACATCCATGTGTAACCGAAGAAAATTATCTCGCAAAACAGTCGCTCGCGTCCAGACGAAGAGACTCACAGACCTGCGCATTACAGGTAAACAACACTGTTACTACTACTATACTACTGTAACAGTAATACCAGTCATAATAGTCATGTAAAAGTGTTCACGGTTTAATCTTGTGAATTTGTTTTCTTGTAGACTTTTATGGAAAGCGAAAGAAAATGGACAGCGTCCACAAGGAAAGCAGAGACATGGAGTGAAACCGCATCCTCTGAAGGAAAAAAGCGCAGCAGTCCGTGGTGGCGGGAAAAGACCGGAAGTAATGACGTCTCAGAGTCTGACCCACGTTATTACGTGATAATGTGATTCTGGAATCTTATTTTTGTACTGATTTATGTTCGTTTAATAATAGGAGCAGTGCTGGTTGCTCTTTACTGTGCACAACTGATAAGTAACTTTAAATTAAAGTCAGGACAAGTAAGCCTATTTATTGTTGACTAATATATATCAGTGTATATATATATTTTGTAACGCTTAAGTTATTTATTTATTTTATTCACTTTTACATTTCAAGTAGGCTATACTTTTGTGGTTGAAAAATGTATCTTTTCTTGATGCTGAGCCATATTTGTCACTATTGTAAAGATGTTGCTTTAATAAATGTGTAAATATGAATGTATGTTGCATCCCATCCAGTTTGTGATTTATTTATTTTTTCTTCCATGCATGTTAAATTTGTAATAGTTCAAATAACAGGCTACTGTTATCTAAACCTTTACAGAAGCGAAGACACTCAATAAATGGGGTCTAGATGATCACAACAAGTCTTACAAAACATCCAGTAACTCAAGGAACACATATTGAGGATAACATTATTATTATTTGGGTCATTTTATTTATGTACCATTACAGCTTTGTAATTAATATTTATTAATTTAATGATTTGATCTGGTTAAGCTTATAAGAACAGAAAATTAAACGGAAATAAAGCTAAAGTCAGTAACACTTTACTTTACAACACTTTTGACTTTTTATTAACTAGCATTAACAAAGATGAATAAATATAGTAAAAAATGTATTCCTAATTGTTAGTTAATACATGAACTAATGTTAACAGATGAAACCTTATTGTTACCCTAATGTCAGTCATCATTGCTCAGTTCATACCTTCTTTCAAATATTGATATATTGATTTCTGTCATTTTTACATAATATGATCAAATATGTTTAAGTGAGGTACTTGCTTATATGTGTGGGGTTTTCCCCACCAAAATTATGTCACTTCCCCAAAGATGATGTCATTGATGAACTGGCTCTTTTTTCTTCTTCTTTTTTTTTATAAGTCTAAAATTATGGAAAGTGAAATTGAGGTCACATATGTGACCCTGGATCACAATAGCCAACAATAGCTACATTGTATGGGTCAAAATTATCGATTTTTCTTTTATGCCAAAAATCATTAGGATCATAAGATTATGTTCCATGAAGACATTTTGTAAATTTCCTACCATAAATATATAAAACATTTATTTTTGTAAGTAAATGCAGCACAATCGCGAACATAAATGGACAACTTTAAAGGCGATTTTCTCAATGTTTACATTTTTTGCACCCTCAGATTCCAGATTTTCAAATAGCATAGTTGCATCTTGGCCAAATATTGTCCTATCCTAACAAACCATACATCAATGGAAAGCTTATTTATTCAGCTTTCAGATGATGTATACATCTCAATAAAAAAATAAATTGGCCAATGTGACTGGTTTTGTGGTCCAGGGTCACATATTATCAATTTAAACAATATGTTTACGAGGAAACATATTTGCAAACGTTTCGATTAAAAACATAATCAAACATTTATAAAAAAAAACTATCTAAACATTTCTATTATAAAAAAATACAATTATTTAAAAACAATTGAAACTGGAATATTAATTGGAATCATTAATAATAGTGTGCCTATTTTTCATGTTAAAATTCAAAAAACATCCTTTCTAACTAAGTTATATAGAACATGTAGCACAAGACTCACGATTGAAGGTAACATTAATGTCTGCAGTAGCCTAATACTCGGATTAAGCAGGGTTTGCAAGCACACCTAAAAGAAAGAAAGCGCAGTGGGGGAGGGGGTTGTATGTTTTCAAGACCACATAGGCAGAAGAAAAGCGAGGCGAAAACGAGCGGGAGAGATGAAGGAGAGCAGGAGAGATGAAAAGAAAGGATGAAGAGCGTGCCGCCTCGCTTTGACCTGCAAATTAGGTCGAATTAAATCTCCGTGACCCGCGCGCTCCTCCCACAACTCCCCGCGAACCCGCGCCGCGCGCTCCTCCCACAACTCCCCGCGAAAACACCTGCTGGAACGCGCGCGTAGGAATGGCGCGTGTCTGCAATACAAACACAAGACACTCGCCGGTGATCTGCTTAATATTCATGCGTGTTTAACATCTGCATGACAGAGAGAGTCCATCTTCACTGTCACACAGCAAACATTATTATTTGTTGTCTTCAAATCTCAATTGTTTTTCAAAGTTCCTAATCCGAGACCAAAGTTTTTGATTGTATTTGCTTACCTTCAAATTTCAAAGCTCTCTTCAAATTGACAAAGTACTTAAAACTCCAGAAGACTTATCTGTATAAACAAGATAAAAGAACCACACGATAAAAGAACCAACTATGACTTTAATGGAACAGGAAGGACCATCTGAGTCCAATTACTTTTAACTGATGTGGTTTTCTGATGTGTGTGTGTGTGTGTGTGTGTGTGTGTAGGAGGGGGAGACCAAATGTAACAGATTGAGAGAAACCGTTGAAAAGTCCACATCAATCATGCACTGTTGAGAATATGGGGGAGGGGAAATGCACATCAATCAAACATCACTTAAACATCAGAGCATTTTAACTATTAAATGCCATTTACAAACTAAAATGAAATAAAAATATAGAGAATGGATGACAAGATTGCAAGTTACAGATTTGCAAATTTAGCCTAAATGAAACTATTATTCAGTAGGTGTTAAAATGTTGGTTTGTTACAATTGATATTGATAATAAACCTACTTTGCCATAAATTGAAGAAAAATATTTTTGATTGTGTTTCCTTTGAATAACATGAATGTTTGTGCATGAAGAATTACAAATATTTGTAAAAATTTAGAAAATTTAATGAAATTATTTGTTTTCCCACCTTGCAGTAGAAAGAGTCCAAATAATATTATATATATAACATTATTTCTTGGGTGTCACAATTTTCAGAATTGGTACATTTTATGTAACAAAATTGTGCAGTAATGGTTGCATATTAACTAATACTTTTATTTTATTTCTGGGAGTAATTAAATATAATTATTGATTAAAATATAATGAATTGAATATTAAGTCAACACGGATTATGTCAAAAGAAAGTAGATTACATAATTACAAGTAGTTAATAATTGAAAACAGATTTTGATAACACTTTATTTTACAGTGTCCTTGTTACATGTTAACTTACATGTTACTATAATTACTATAAATTGTGCATAATTACATTAAACTAAACCCCAAACCTAACCCATAACTCTATAGTAAGTACATGTAGTTTATTATAATAACCCAGTACTTAAATAAATAATTACACTGTAACATAGAAACCTTAAAATAAAGTGTAACCCAGATTTTAACTGCAATGTACTGAATATTATTTCAAAATGTTGACATGGTATGATAAAGTTGAGAAAGTCCAGACCTAAATCGACATTTAAATTGGCATACAGACACTCAATGTGTTTAACAGTAACAACTTTTCATTCTAGGTTAATTTTATGTTACATAATAGTTTGACATGAATTGAGCATTAAAATACTAAAAACCAAAATAAATCATAGGACACTAAAATGTATGATATTCATGAAAAGTGCTTGTGTAAGTGCTATATATTTGTATCTGTGGACATTGTGAAATGACAGGGCAGATGTCGTCCCTCATGAGGGTCAGGGTCTCCAGTGTTTCTCAGCCACTCCACAGCTGCGTCTCCATGGACACCAGTTGGCCAACCACATCCAGCAGGAGCGAGTGTGTGTGGACCACCAGCTGACACACTCGCTCAAGCACGTCTGTGATGTCAGAATGCTGACACGTCATGAAACAGCATTTATGAATTAGTAACTCACCAGCTGACCGAATGACCCTTCGTGGGAAAACCCTTGTGTCCGTGTAATTAACGATTTGCTCCCGGGTGACCTGTGTGGGAAAATAAAGATGAACAGATGAATTAGCCTACATAAAGTTGTTCAAACAACATTATGCATAGAATGCTTTTCTTTAGTAGTTAGTTTGACTGTAAAAAATGTAAAAATAAAAAACTAATTGAATCATAATTAGAGATTATCTGTTATATCCTCCTGGGACCCAGGAATAGACTTTTGACATTATATTTTAGTAAATTTCTCACAGTTTTAGGTCTGGATGTCCTGTAAAGAGCACATTCAGGGCTTTTTCAGATATACCAAATGTTTGGTGGTTTCAGCATGAGAGCAACTTCTCTTTGGTCTTTAAAAATGACTGACATAAATTTAGTGATCAAATTTAGCACTCTTAAGGAAATATGAGAATATTTTGTGAATATAATTTAAATCGGACTAAATTTCACAGGAAAATGTTATGGGGTTTCTAATCAAAATATGATTTTCTGTTACAAAACAGGGCATTTCATACATGACATGCATGATTGTATAAAGTAAAAGGGTATATCAGTTCATTCCGTTATATCTTTCATAACATTTTTTTAACCAAGTTTGGTTAAAAAAATCCTGAAACCTAAAAATGTATTGGTGAATGAAAAAAAAATCACATTGTCTTTGCCTATACATGCCATTTTATGTCTTTTTAATTTTTAAACAACTGAGTCCTGGAGTGTACAGTGGACATAGCATATGAATAAAATATATTTTTGCTCTCTAAACAATGTAATGACATGAAAAAATGACTACCATCTTCCGGTTACAGGACACTAAGGCGCTACCACATGGATACATGGTCCTTTGAAATATACCATGGTATTTATATTGTAATTTAGAATACCATAAGGTAATCCGCAGGTAGCCTACATAAGGGGGGAAAAACTTACTTTTTGTAAATGGAGATTTATTTGCACGTGTGGTTAGCCGCTAGAGGGCGACACACAAACAGATGTAGGCGTGCATTTATTGACTCTATCAATATTTATCGTTCTATCCAGAGACTTTGATTAAAGATGTATATTTTATTAGCAGGCCTATATATGTGTGTACAATATCAAATCATTCAGTGCCATGGTACCCATAACGGGTTTTTAAAGAGATAGGCACGTGCTTAATAACAGAAACTTTTAGACCTTGGTCCGTCCAAACTGATAACAAATATACCAAGTCCGCTGTCTTACCTGTTATTAAAACTGGGTGGGAGCTGAAAGCCACCCAGAAACTACCGAGTTTCATTATAGAGCCTGAAAGCTGGCGGAAGGGCAAGATTACCCCTCAGTCCTCTCAGATCAGCTGCATATAGACGTCTGCTCTCTCCAGAGGGTAATTTCAGTTTGTGGGTGTTTATGTGTGTGATCCTCCCTAATGTGGTTGTGCTCAAACCACGGCAGCTAAAAGCTAAAAACCCTCCTGCTGAAAGCAGATGAATCCCACTGGAACTCTAATAAACACA